TTTCAATGTTAATATATGGATATGAAGGTAGAAGTTCATAATGTTAAGAATAAGGGATCAATGGATCATACTAAATGTCTGTAGTATTATTGTGGTTTTATGTAATGTTGTAAATGATTTATAGAAGATTATATTTTGATTACTACAATATTTTAACTTTTTTGTTCCAAATATCGGGTGGTTTGGAATTTGGATGGTAGAACCTGGTTTTATTGTTCCTTTCTTTTGAATTTGAATTATTGTTCCGTGTATCCTCTCCATGTCTTAAATTGTTTTGTAGCTTTCAAGAAAAAGATTATATCGCCTTTGGTATGTGCATTTGAACCATATTTTTTAATTCTTTGTTGTTTATTTAGGTTATTCAATTCATTGCTAAAATTTACCCCCTGATTTTCTGCCTCAGTGCAATTCATTGTTAGAATTCGCCTTGTATTAGGTTTGATTGAAGAATTGAGATTCCATAGCCAAGTAGATGGCTGAATATTATATTTTCGTGCCGTAACTCTTATTTTTATTCTTTTGTATAAATATTCTGTTTGTTTGTCAATCAATTCTAGACTCTCTGTGGAACCAATGTAGCTCCTCTACGTTTGAACTGTTGTGTTCTATAAGTATGCTTTTAATATAACTTGTTTGCATGTGGCCAGAGAACATTGAGGGCTGGAAAGTTGACTGAGAGAGTTCTTAATATTTTCATTGCAACTGGCAAGGATGAGGTACTTTCACTCATTCAGGAACTCAATATTCAGCACATTCTAACCCCAGTCCTTCCCACTAGTAAGTTGCTCACGCTCAAGTAATATCCTTTGTACTTGCAAAAGTCATTTCAAGCTTCTCATCCTTCAGTTTTATTTATTTATTTTATGAGAGTCATCCTTCATTTGTTGTTTAACATAGAGACTAATTTCATGCAATTCTTTTTTATTTTCCCTTACTTTTTTCTTTACTTTACAGGATGTTCTGAGAAATTTTAGATTGGTGCAAGTAGCATTTTAAGTTAAACAGTGTGATCTCCAAGCATATCAGCTTTTAGCTAGCCAAACATATTCTGCTGTCTGGATTGTTGTTTCTTTTTTGGGTTGACAAGATGTCTCTGGAGAACATCAGGGATGATGAGGTAGACATTGTGATAGGAGCACTCCATTCTGACCTGACAACGTTCATGAATGAATGGAAACCTATGTTTTGCCGATTTCATCTCATTATTGTCAAAGACCCTGATCTGAAGGAGGAGCTCAGAATACCAGACGGCTTTAACCTCAATGTCTATACAAAGTCAGACATAGATCAAGTTGTGGGTTCTTCCACTTCCATTCTCTTTTCTGGTTACTCATGTAGGTATTTTGGCTATCTTGTATCCCAAAAGAGGTACATCATCTCTATGGATGATGACTGCATCCCAGCTCGAGACAATAAGGGCTTTTTGGTGGATGCTATTGCCCAGCACATATCCAACCTTTCAACACCAGCCACACCATTCTTCTTTAACACGCTGTATGATCCTTTCCGTGAAGGAGCAGACTTTGTTCGTGGGTACCCATTTAGCTTACGGAGTGGGGTCCAATGTGCCTTATCATGTGGGCTCTGGCTCAATCTGGCAGATTATGATGCACCTACACAAGCCCTTAAACCGGAGCAGCGGAACTCTCTATATGTTGATGCAGTTATGACTGTTCCAGCTGCAGCCATGTTACCAATTAGTGGAATCAATGTTGCTTTCAATCGTGAGGTTTTAGGACCTGCCTTGATTCCAGCTTTGAGGTTGGCAGGAGAAGGAAAGCTGAGGTGGGAGACTATGGAAGATATATGGTGTGGGATGTGTGTTAAGTTTGTGTGTGATCATCTGGGACTTGGTGTGAAAACTGGACTGCCATATGTGTGGAGAAATGACAGAGGTAATGCCATAGAGAGCCTAAAAAAGGAGTGGGAAGGGGTAAAGCTGATGGAGGAAGTTGTCCCTTTCTTTCAGTCAGTGAGGTTGCCTGCCTCAGCTGCCACAGCAGAGGACTGTATTGTTGAATTGGCAAAAGTTGTTAAAGAGCGGTTGGGAGCAGTCGATCCTGTATTCACTCGTGCTGCTGGAGCTATGCTTGACTGGGTTAGGCTCTGGAAATCGGTTGGATCTGGTGCATCCTCCCTTCGAGCCTGACCTAAATTTTTTTTTTTTCCATTGTTTAATATTTTCTACATCTTCCTTTTGGTTTGGTCACTTGTTATCTGCCTCCTTATGAATGCAGACTTTAGAACGGCCATGAATAAATATGAACTCATTGTACTTAAGGAGGTGATTTAAATGCTTGATATCAATTTATGTAGTGTCTTCTGAGTTTGTATACAAAATCACAAGCTCTGTTCTCAGTAATTTTCAGGAAATCAGTACATCATAGGATTAAGTGCTAGCTTGAAGATGCATTTGCAACTCTTGAAGTCCTGGAGTGCTTTCTAGCCGCCTGCTCAACACCCAACCATTTCTGGATAAGTTGAAATACATTTTTGTCTCGTAACAATCCACGATGACTTGCAGGCAACCCTACTCTCTCCACTGCTGGGAATCCATCAGCCTGAGTGTCATCTCCGAAGATTAGGTAGTCAGTGAAGTCTCAAATGCAGGAGACATAAGATATGTTTACATTTTGATTATGCGCATATTTTTTTCATAGGAACAATCAAGAAAAACACTTAAAAAGTTCAGTGGAACAATTACTATTAGCCTTAAAAAAAGGAGGGGGAAAAAATGATTAGAACAAAGCTTTGTCTGTCTAACTCCTTAATCAAATTTCTTTTATAGTCCCATTCCGGCCGGTAAGCATTTCGTTTTCAATTACTTTAGCAAACCATAGAAACAAGTGATCAATAAGAAAGTACCTTTGCTGATTCAGCAGGTACAGTTCCGTCTCCATCAACATAAGAGTACTCTGGCTGCACCAATGAGGAAGTAAAAACACATGTTAAGTCTCAAATGGCAAAATGTTGGTACAAGAATTTTCACAAATAACAGGTCAAATGGGGGGCAAAGCCTGGGTCTAAACAAAACCAGTCATCAAAGTTAGTATATGAATTACTTTGTATCGAAATGCACTACTTCTATAGTCTAGGCTTTGAGCAGCAAGATTTATCAGGTTTGAATCGCAGGACAACTACAGATACCAGAAAAAACAGATCTTATCACTCACCATTGTATGGCATATTTCTGACAAGTCCTCAATTGGAGAAGTCTCTGTTCCATAACTGCATCAGATATAGATGTTGTAGGTTAAATTTTTGAGCTTAAATTCATTTCAACTCCAAACATTATATATAAGTATCATTTCCAGACCCCAACCTAAACTGACTAATCCAGACTCATGAAGAATTTCAATTACATACCAAACATCAAAGGGTGTTTCAAATGATGTCCCATAAATGTTGTAGAAGGAGACGCCACTTGGTAGTTCCGCATCATTGATGATCGTACGAGTACTAGCAGCCCAATTGAGAATCTTGACATTGAAAGGTAGAGCAATTGTATCCCCATTATAATTTAGCTGCAACATGATAAAGAATAATGAGTGAGTAGCTGGTAGGCATGCAAGTATTGGTGGCAGATAATGCAACCAAACACAATAAAATTTAACCCTTAGAACTAGGCTTCAAATAAATTGAACTGGTTATAGATAATGCAACCAAACACCAGTAAGGTATTCTTGGTTCTGGATAAAAAACCCTTAGAACCATGTTTCAAATAAACAGCTTGACCCAGCACCAACAGCCATAAATTCCTGCCTTCCAGAGCCAGAAGACCCAATTTAGCCACTCCATATTTCATGTGGAAAATTGTCAGTTAAGTAGAGGACTTTCCTCTTATCAAAAAAAAAACTGTCAACTAAGATAGGAAACCCAGTTCTCATATTGTGGTTGAGATAGAATTAAAGCAAAGTTAGTTAAGCAGTTTCATAAAGAACTCATGAAATGCCATGTTAACTGTTAGGAATATTCTTTTGAACAAATTACACATCACCTCATTATGCCTTAATGCTTCCTTGAAAAGATTGATACTTTCTATGGGATCATACGACTCCAGTTCCACTGAACTTTCTCCATCTTTAGATTGCCTCCGCCAAACTTCAATCAGTGGTTGCTTTTTCCAGTTAAAAACTGGATTTGGCAACATCTCATAGATGGAAGGGCACTCAACTAACTGCAGATAAAATGATAACAATAAAATAATTGTGAAAATACTAAAGCAAACAATGGTACAGAATAAGTCATGACTTGGCTATTGAATTGACAATGCTGATACATGACCAAGATGCCATGTTAAATAAGGCTGTCATTTTCCTAAAAGCATGCAAAACTATATAGCCACTAATATATAGGCATTGCAACTAGAAGACCATCACTGGAAACTATAGTCTCTGCAACCCGGAAGCATTTTAAAACTTTTAAACAAGTTTACACTGAAATGTGAATTAAAATATTCGTATTAAGTAAGGAGCACAAATACTCATCTCGACAACAATCTTTCAAGCATTATATAGCAGATTTGCTGATAAAATAAAATGCATTATATAGCAGATTCTTTTAGTCATAAAATGTTAAAATAATTTTGCTTGTTCTTCTCTGTAGTTTTTATTGAAAAACTAAATAATTTTGGGAAAAACATACAAAAATCATAATCCAGGATGACAAAGTAGGGCTGCCAGTCAGAAGGTGAAAGGCTTGCAGGTTTTGGATCTCTAGATGCCTGCACCAAATCTGATAAAAGCAGGCTGCTATAGTATCAGCAGGGAAATGGAAGCAATTGAGACAATTGTGCAAACAACAATGTTTGTGCAATGTAAACAGAAAGAAATCTGGGAACAACATAGCAGTAACAATATCCCGGTAGACATATTTGTGACCCTAGAAGTCTAGAACAGTTGTGGGCCTTGCAGCTAGAATAGTTCTAATGTGTATGGTTATTTAAGCAATTGAATAAAGCCATTTCATTGCTTTCTGTTTGCTACAATTGAAGTTCTTAGTTCTAGAAACCTTTTTAACAGTCTGCATACTCCCAATGTAACAATATCCAACCTAATTTCCAAAATGAGCACTATAAGATGAGTTTTAAGCATTAGCTATGCATCTGTACACTGCACTGAAACACTTGGGATAATGGTGCCTCCAAAAGTTTACACATGCTATCTATAGTTTGTCAACACAACCATATCCCTAAGAACACAGATAAAACATTTATCAAAAACAATCAAGAAACCAGGTGGGTTTTGCTGATTGCTGAAATGGGATAGTAACAGTTGATTTTAATTAAAGTATATTGACACTTCCTTGAATATATCTCTTCTCTGAAATTCCAACAACTATTGGTCAAATTCCTGCCCAAGTGTGTAAAATTTAGGAATTACCAGTTGATGCATTGTCCATCTTGATACAAAAAAGTAGCTTTCAAAACCTTCAACAAACTGCAATCCTGTCAACAAAGAATCATTGATACATCCCGGAGCACCTGTTATACATTTCAAGTTCATGTTAAAGATTTTCTTTTAAGAGAATGTTCCATTAGAATTTGGAGTTATGAATTGATCTCTCCCTGAAATTTTTCTTCTAATTCTCTCCCCAAATTCATATAGTTTCTCACTTTTCCTCTTAATTCCTTCTCTTCCTTCTATATTTCTCAAATTTCCCACTCCTCTCTATATATTTCTCTCCCTTCACTCTTCTCTCTCCAGTCCTGCATTGGAATTTGTTTACCAACAAAATTTACACATGCATGCTTTTAAATGGAAAAAACTAAACTAAACATTAATCTAAAAACTAGTTAACATCAACACCAAACATGTAAATCCAAAACGCTTGATACAAAGGACTCTACCTTGAAAGGGGCTTGCGATGGCAATCCACTTATTTACATACTTAGAAAATACCTGCCAATAAACAATTATGCATGATCATCAGTTTTATCACGAAAAAGAAACAGTAGGAGAAATAACTGGGAGAGTGGAAGTTCACAAATTGTCTGTTAAAAAAAAATAATAGTTAATTAATTTATCAACTAGTCACAAGGAGAAACTGTACACACATCAGTGTGGAGTGACATAAAACACACAACCAGTATTCCTCCCATTGAATGTGAGATAATATTAACTTTTCTGCCCCCAGAAGCTTTATATGCAGTTTCCAACCTCACTTTAAGACCATCCATTAACTTGTCTATCCTGCCAGCAGTTGAACAAAGTGAGACTCAGATCTTTTCAACGAAGATAAAAGAACTGTTAGTTATTTCCATCCAGGCATTATCATGATATGTAGATATGACCAGAGAGATAGTGATTTGACAGTGACATGTGATTTATATATCAACATAAACCATTAGAAAGTAGAAACTATTTGAAAGAAAATACCTATTGCTTTGCCGGAAATCATAACCATATCCAAACAATGTTGATCCTTTCTTATATCCACATCCAACTAGCATATCAATCATATCATGGAAATGATATACCTCTCTCAAATGAAGAAGTTTTATCAACTGAAACACCAAAAATAAGAATCTACAATAGTTAGACAGTTAAGACAAAAAAAGAATTGAAATTGCAAAAGCAAGAGCACTGAAGAAAAGTGGAACTTTCTATTTTCTACAAAAGACACTAGAGTAGTGAAGTACATTACAAAGATTAGAACTTAAGTAATAATCCTAGAAGGAATCCAATCCTTTATACTACCTATTAGCAAAACGATAATGATAAAAACTTTGCTTAAACAAATAAATAGTAAGAGGCCTGTTTTGCCGAAACAAATAATCTGATGAATAAAATTCTGAGGGAAGTAAGGAATTCTGTTACAAAGCCCCAATTCCACTAACAAGATAGACACAAAAAAACCTTGAAAAGAATTGTCAACTTTACCAAAGAAGGATCCAAGATGTCAATTGCATACAGCCCATAATCATCGTCGGGGACCAAAATCTCAGTGTCACCATCCAATGACTCAGTATAACCTGAAAACATTAAGCTTGCCACTTTCAGCCAAAACTACAGGAGACCAAGTATGAATAACCAACTCACCAAGACTAATACCAAAAGAACAGGGTCTTACAGTAATCTTCATCTTTAAACCAAAAAAAAAAAAAAGTTTTATTCTTACTTCATTTACCTACTTTCTCTTTGTTTCCTTCACTTTCTTGGCAACCAAACACAAAACAAAAGAAAGCACAAATCTTGTAATACTTAAATACATGCAAGCATACATAAGCAAGCAATCTAGAGAGACAGTGAGGAACCTGTCTCGGGATTATAGATGGACCAGAGCTTCTTCTTAAACTCCAAGTCCGAAAAAAGTATCCGGACCCAAACCCGGGTCTGGAACCCGAGCTTCTTCCGCTTCGAGTGAAGAATGGAGCCTCCCATTCCGGAGACCAGCAAGACAGGGTCCCTATCGGGCTCGTCATCGTCGGAGGTCCGGAACCCGAAGCAGGGGCAGAGGCGGAGGTTCTTGACCATTGTTTTGTTCGACCCGAACGGGAAACCGAGTTTGGGAGTGTGGCAACTGGAAATGGTGGTAGTTGAGAAGTTGAGGTGCGAAAGTTTTAAAGAGCGTACGAGAAGGCTTGGATAAGACAAAAGCAAATCAATGGTTTTGCACTGTGGTCCTTGTGTCTTTCACTTCTTTATAAAATTGTCCTACCATTTTTCTGTAGCTTAATGATGAGTAAAATTGTGAAATGAGTGGGTCATGGGTTGCCTTTGCTAATACGTAAACCATTTACTCAAACCGATATGGTCCATGGTCTGCATTGATCAAAGCAAATCTAACTTGCCATTTACTTAAGGAGCCTCTCTTCCAAGTGGAGCATGAGTGAATGTTAAACATACCAGTGAAATAGGTAAAATGATAGGACATATTTGTTTTTTTATTGTGCAATTAAAAATTAAAAAAAAAAAAAACTAAATCCAATCTTACCCACCCATTTACCATCCCTAATGAATATTGTTTTATGCAAAAATATAACCAATTATAAATGTTTCAAAGCAATTAAAATAACTTCAAAAGCAATATTAATCAAATATATTTCAAATATAATCAGTTATTAATGTAATAAAAAGTAATTTCCTAAGAATATAGGTAATTAATTGATCTTATGATTTCCTAGTATGAACTTACATTATAACCAATTTTCAACACAATTTATCACATACAAACCCAAAAACTTGGCTTAAATGGCTTAAATTCACTGTACTATTTTTTAAAAGAAGTGATGAACCAAATATACCCTAAAAAAAATTGGGGAAGTAACAAAAATATTGCAAAAGACAGTATACTCATGAGTAACAAACCAAAAGGACGTGTCAGTCAAAAAATATAAGTATAAATAAGGCAATTGCAGATATTCGCCAATATCTGCCACGTAAGCTTACCACGCACACCTAACGGTCATCACCTCGTATGCAGAGGTCAGACTCTCCACAACCAAAACCATCAAAAGAATCTACACTCGCCACTCTGTTACTCTCCAGCCTCCCTGCTAACATAGTGAATTTCCTCTTTGAACCCCAGTTTTTTTTAAAAAAGACAATATTTGACACGTGGCAAGAGAAGAATCATTAGATGGGTATCGTAGGTTGTAGGTGATGAGTATTGAGGACTCAAGCCAAGTCCAAATTGGATATGGCGGCAGGGAATCCAAGCAGGATATTCTGGGGAATTGTGCTTTTTTCCAATATTTGGAAATAATGTTGGAAAAATTCGCAATTAAGTAATTACAAATAGTATTTTCTTATTATGTACGTTTGAAAATATAAGTTAAGAATATATTAAATATATTTTTATATATTAATTTATATAAAAAAATAAAAAAATAAAATTAATTTTAATATTTTAATATATAAATTTTTTATTAAAAATTAATAAATTTAATAATAATTTTTAATTTTATTATATATATTAATAATAATATAATATAATAAATACATATTTATTTCGTGCTTTTAAAGTCACGAAAGAAAAAATCCCTTACAAATAATTTGGCTCAAAATTTCACACTTGCAAGGGTATTTTTTTTGTTCCTCATTCGGTATCTAGGGTTTCGTCCCGATTACTTCGGATTCGACCAGTTGTAGCGCACCAGAATGGTGGGTGGGTCTCTCAACGAAAACTGTTACGTACACAAGGTCCCAAACTCTAAACTTTACTTAAACTAAAACAAGCCGCTTGCCAGTTGATCCAATCCCACGTTAGTACACTTGCAAGGGTTTTATTTAAAGCAATGGAGTCAGTTTCACTTTTAAGATGATACAACTAGATCCCAACATTTTCTGTGGCCTTTGTTGAAGCATTATTTGAACATAAATTTTACAAAAATGTTGAATCATGAATTTATATGATAAAATCATATTTTATGCTGACCAAA